CATCTGAAATTCTATCTGAAAGCAACTCTGACAACCACTATTGATTACACATTCAAAATTGTCGTGCTGATTGCCATGGGGGTGATGCGGCGCGTCAACATCCCAACTACATAATCCCAACACTATGCAGTGTATCAACAGACGTAATCGGCTGCGATGTCAGGGTAATGATCCAGTCATTAAGCAAAATACTTTTCCATGAACACCTCATCGTTCTCCGAGTCTGAGATGCCGAGATTGTCCGCAATATTCGAATTTCTCGATACACTCGACATCGATTTCACCAATAGTGAGTCAGCTAACGAAATGAAACACCTTGAAACCAAGACTCTACCCAAAAAGCCAACTCGAACTATCATCAACCATGAGCGTGAACGAGTGCCATACTCGACGGGGTTGCAACGTCGCAAGAGAGCTGAAACCCGAAAACTTCGCATCGAAGCAAAAGTCCTGACCGCTCAACTCGCTCAGTTGAAGCGCAGACGTCAAGAGCACATCAAGAATGCATCGGCCCTCTCTTCCGGAATCCAACGACAACATATGATTAATTGGCGAAGCGTGGCTGCCGTTGCTTGCGAGCAGCGACAAATCGCAGAGCGTATCAATTGTGAGCTCAAGGCGATCATGGCAGATCAAGATAGTGTCCGATCTTCCGTCCTCCAAGTGCTCGTCAAAACTAACGCTATCAATGTACGGTCCGCCCCGGAACAGTTACAGTGAGGTCTCAAATGCTAACCAAATTATTTACAGGAAAAGGACGTGAACTTTCTCCGCAACACGAAGCCTCGACCCGATTCCACTCTTCCAACAGAACTTCTGCGAGGAGATTACGGAGGAGCTGGTGAACAAGCTAAAAAGTCTCTATAACGAGAAGTCCAGGGTTTTCTCTGTCGTGGACACGTCCACACTGGTCTCTTATCGTTGCCAGACTTCCCCCCCCTCCTTAACTGTATGGAGATAACATCGAGTACTCCAATGACATATTCTGTTCATGAGACGGGGGATTGGCTATGGAGTTACATCATTACAACCCGCAAGAACGCTGTCAACTCCGTCGGATACGTAAGCGTTGCTCCATTTTGGTTATTTTTGTGGATGGCACTTCTAAACAATTGTTTCTTGAAATAGGTCGATAAGACGATGCAAGGACCTCTTAACATGACCGGCGTGTTGTCTCGACGAGAAGGTCTACAGATACTCAACAATGTTAGTGCCTTCCGTCGATTCAACGAGGGAGACCAGATTTTTGTAGTCGGATCCGCAATGTGGTTCCTTCCGAGTGCAGGTCTTGTGCTGCAAGACAACAACTGGACCGTCATCTCGCCGTCACCGACAAATCCTGAGTACAAATGCGTGGTACGAAATTGCTACAAGTTAGAAGCAACTCCCGTTTCAGCAGCCAATACTCAAACCCAGAAGGCGACCCTCGACTTGGTCGGGAACCGCATGCGAATCATCATTCAGTCCATGCAAGATACTTTACTTGGTCACGATGAACGCAGTTCTACGTACACCTGCTGAACAAATAAGCCGAAGTAAATTTGTGCATTATTTTGAGGCTATAACGAATAAATTTGTGTTCATGATACTAGAAACTAGTCCGGGTTAGCAGTAGATGCAAGGGACGATGTTCTTTGACGATATCGTCACTTTATAGGAAGTAAGCCTGAGAGCTACACCTACAACAATCATAGCAGCTTAGAAGTTGTAAGTTGAGGCGTGGAATCTAAACTCGATAGGGAATGAGGCTCGATAGCACCACCTGAACACGTCAAAGAGGACGAGTCGGACCCTGACGTCGAACCGGAACTACTCTGTCCTCCGATCAACTAGGAGTTCGAGCCCGTTAAAATATCCGAATCACTGATATCCGTGCCGGACGTATTTCGGGCAAGAACACATTTCAGGCCATTCCCATTTCAAGTTAATTAAATGAAAAAAAAATGAAGAAAAAAAACGTCCATGAAGTTTCAGGTGATCGATCAGTCATTATTTTTTTATTTTACGAGCACATGAAAACAACCTTATTTTTTGTGTTTTGAACGAACTTATTACTACTCGCACTGGTTTAATTAAACCTGCTCAGCTGGGTCTGCCTTCATGAACGCCGCCTCAAATGACATCTCAGGGGGCTTAAACTGCACAGTCTTCGGTCCATGGTCGCTTTGATCGCCATGGTGACTATAGTCGTAGGCGAGGCCGCCGTGGTACGAAATATCGATGCCATGTGCCTCCTTCTCTTCGTTAATGCGAAGACCGACTGTGTACTTGAGAATAACAAGTATGATCAGAGTTGCAGAAAACACGTACGCCGCAGCTACAGAGTTGGCCACCAATTGGTACACGAACTGCATGCCGTGTCCGTAAAAGGCACCACCCTTGATGGTTGGGTTCACCTCAGGCGTGGCAAAGAGGCCAGTCAACAAGCCGCCCATGAAGCCACCGCAACCATGGATAGCAAACACATCCAACGTGTCATCGTAACGCAGATGATTTTTGAGTTTTACGGCAAAGAAACCGGTAATGGCCCCGACGATTCCGAAGATCATCGCTGCCCACGGGAGCACGTATCCAGATCCGGGGGTGATAGTGGCCATACCAGCCACAGCTCCACTGGCAGCACCGCACGGGTCGAGCTTACGCGAAATACTATACTCGAGCAATACCCAGGTTATGAAACCAGCGGAGGCAGCCAGGTGAGTGTTGATTGCAGCCGTAGCACCGATTCCATCAGCGGCACCTCCCGATCCACCGTTAAATCCGAACCAGCCAAACCAAAGGAACGTGCACCCGATCATAACCAGCGGTACGTTGTGTGGCTTCACAGGTTCCCCGTGGTTATAGCGCTTTCCCACCATCAGAGCAGCGGCGAGTGCACCAAATCCACCAGACACGTGGATGACAGTGCCACCGCCGAAGTCAAGCGCTCCCATGCTGCCCTCCCAGCCTCGGGGCGTAATACTCCACGTTTGATCGAGTTTCTGGGACCAGATCCAATATACCAACGGCTCGTAAACGATTGAGGTCCAAAGGAAGATAAAGATGAGATACGTGCCAAATTTCATGCGACCCACAATACCTCCGCTCAACTCGGCGGGGGTGATAGCTGCGAATTGCGTCTGGAAGAATGCGTACACAATGTGTGGGATACCCGTGCCGTAAGTGCCACTTGGCGTCTTGCCCACGTGGTTGTATCCAGCCCAGCCGAAGATGCCGTGCGTACCAAAAGCTGCCGAATAGCCGAACGCCCAGAACTGGATCGTCACCATTGCCATACTCACGAATGACATCATGATTGTGTTGGAAGCCATCTCCTCACCTGCCAGACCAGCGTAGAAGAAAGCAACACCAGGCGTCATGATCATCACCAGAGCACTAGCAGTCAGCATCCACGCCGTGTTGCCGGAATCAATGGCTTGATCGTAGTCTGTGCCAGCCTTTTCGCCCTGGTTCTTGTAGTTGACACACTCGCCCGTGACAGAGTCGAGATACTGCGAGATCAGACACGAGGAGCTCGATCCAGAACTATTGGTCTCTGCTGACACAGCCGCCGCCGCCATGATAAACAACGCAATGTACGCGGATCTTGGACAGTGAAACCGAGGCATCTGGAGACGGAGCTCTGGTGGTTGGGCCTTGCGCTCCAAATTGAAGAGTGAGCAGCTCGGTCAAGACGGACGAGAACCCCCTCCCATTGCAACGCAAGCAGCTACTGGCCACCATTGTCCCGAATGTGGACTAAAAGGCGTTAAAGGCGTTGGGGGATGAGCGCTCTGGAATGCACAAACATGACGTTTCCACCACAATCTCCGCTAGACACCTCAAGTCCCCAGTGGCAAGTCCGCATTTTACGGTGTTGTCCTGCCAACGCTACTGTAAATGGATACTACATGTAGCAATTGAGTTAAATGAGATCGTTGACGTGATGGCACAGCGAAGCGATCGAAGTCGAGGGACGATTCCGGCGCTGGTGGGCAACGTCAGGTTAGATGCTCGACAAAATGCGTTTTCGCCAGTACAGTGTCCAAAAAAGTGGCAAAATACTCCCCCGCTCAGAAATGGCCACGTCGCGGGACGTTGAGCGTGCTGATTGGTTGGTTTTGCGATCTATGGATAGAAACGAAGCATAACCTTTTGGAAATTTGGAAATCTTATAGAAAAATGTGTAATGACACAACCTTGTTTCTATTTCTAAACACTTCAGCATTTACAGCCAGTAATAACCAATATTCTCTAAACACCCAGAAGAAGAATATTGGTTATTACTGGCTGTAAATCTGAAAAATAAGCAACAGATCCGTGCACTCGTATGCAAGAGCAAGCGCGATTAACACAAAGAACTATGAACTCAGGTAGCATTCAACTTCGTATAAAA